TGGCCGCGGCGCCGGGAGGCGGGGCCGGGCGGGGCCCGAAGACCCGCCGCGCCCTCGTCGGACCCTCGAAGTCGGCAGGGCTGCTCCTCACGCACCACGTCGTAACGCGCTGGGCAGCGACCACCTTGTCTAAAGAAACCCTCTCCTGCGTTCTGCCTCTCCCCTACCCCGGTCCTAGGGGCCAGCCAATCATCACCCGGCTTGCCCATCCAACATTCCTTTTTCCCTTTCATCACTAATATCTCGGAACGCGGCAACATTCCTTCCTCCATTCGTTCATTCATTCGTTCGCTTAGGGAGCATTTACCGAGTGCCTCCTGGGTGCGCTTGTATCATGAAGTTGCTAGTCTTTGAAACACTACACAAAGAAAGGCCCAACTTGGGGGAAGAGGCCCAGGGAGAGGTTGGGGTAGAGAGAAGTTTCTGTGAAGTGCTAGGGGCCCGATCATGAGTAAAGACTTGCTTAAATTGTTGCAGAATACTTTATGACACTTAGGTCTCAAAGTGTCGTGAGTTATCTTCAGGGTGTTTATTGGCATTAATCTCTCCAGATTTTGGAGAAGGCCCTTCGAGGTTGCAGAATGTTTTTCCCATTCACAAGGGAAAACTTCATTGGCCTGAGGCACCTTTGAGTGACAGACGTCACTTCATGAGCGCTTGCCTGTACAAAGTGGAGTCACCGCGTTATTAGTGGGGTGTGGTGCACGCTTGTAGGGAGGCAGTTTATGGATGGGGCCATAGGTATGGTGCGGGAGACCACTTGTGGGATGAGCACTTGGAGGAGCCCGCTGGGTCTTACAAAATTACATGGGAGCTGTAAAATGGAAGCCGCTGTTAACAGCACTTATTGCCCCTTACTATGTGCCAGGCGCTGTTCTAACTGCATTATATATTAGCTCATTTAATCCCCCTATTAATCATTATCACCCTCATTTTATAGATGAGGAAACTAAAGCAGAGAGAGGTTAAATAATTTATCCAGAGTCACACAGGTAGTAAGTAACAAAACTGGGATTTGAACCCAGAACATCTGACCACAGTATCTATGTGCTTAGCCTTATGCGATACTGTTTCGCAAGAGTTGAGATATACACATAATTGATAAATTAGTATGCAGAATGCATAAAGATCTAAAAATACATAAGAAAAGGACAACCTCCAAAAAGGCAAAAGGCATAAACAGGACTTTCACAGGAAAGAAGACACAAGTGGTCAATAGACATAAGAAAAGATGCTCAAACTCTTTAGCAGTCATGAGAATACAAACGAAAACCACAAGATATCATGTTACACCTACAGATTTAACAAAAATTAAACAGGGTACAATAAGTGTTGGTGAGGATGTAGATTAATGCTAGTGGGGGAAAAAGTTTGGCATTACAGCATCCAAAGCCCTGCTCCTATGTATGTACTGAGACGAATGCTTTGCATGATGTATATGATGGTAGCCAGCTTATTAATATGACACACATGTGAATAGGGCGCCAGCAAAGCATACACACACACACACACACACACACAAATTCAGCTTTGGTGAATTTATCTGGATCTTTACAAACAAAACCTTGAAAAATGCAACATCACCTTTGCAGTTTCTGGCAAAAATGTTGAACCCATTGTTAAATGCTGAATCCATCTAATAATGAGGAAACATTCAGACACATCCAGACTCTGGCATGTTCTACAAAACAACTGGCCTGGATGTCGCAAAATGTTAATGTCATGAATGATTAAAAACAAACCCATGGAAGTGTTCCAGATCAGAGGAGGCTAAAGAGACAAAGTACCATGCAAGATCCTTGATTAGAATCTGGATTTTAAAAAAAACAGCTTTAAAGGGCATTCATTATTGGGACAATTGGGAAAATTTGAATATGAACTGTATATTAGATAATATTGGGTCAAGGTCAAATTTCTTGGGTGTGAGAATGAAATTGTGCTCATGCAGGAAAATGTCCTTTTTTTAAAGAAAGAAATGCTGAAGAATTTAGGGGTGAAGCATCATTATGTCTGAAACTTACTTTCAAGTAGTTCAGAGAAAAAACCAGCAAATATCACAAAAAGTTACAAATTGGTGAATCTAGATGTTTACATAGATGTTCATTTTACCATTCTTTCAACTCTTCTGTGGGTTTGAAAATTTTCAAAATAAGAAATTGGAGAATTTTTTTAAAACCTAGAAATTTTGTCTTCAGCCTATTGTAAACACTACTACTTTGAAAAATCAAATTTTATTTGGAATTACATACAGGGAGGCATCCTCCATAATCTTTTCAGCATTTAGTGCCTCTAAAGGCCTGAATCCCGCCCAAGAGCTCAGAGGAATGAGAAATCACTCCTGATTGGGGTGATCAGAGAAGCCTTTGTGGAAGAATTGGCAGTTATTCTGGATCTGAGGACCGAAAGAGAGCCATCATTCCTCATTCCAGCCCATGTAGTTGAGTGAGGAGATGGGCCTTCTGTGGCCAGATCTTCCCATTTTTCAAAATAAGATGGAAATCTGGATTTCAACATAAAATCTCTTATTTTAAAAATGTTGACAACATTAAAAGTTTTAAAAAACACGATGCAGGGCAAATAAAATCATCCAATATCTAATCAGCGTTCAAGTTTCCAAATTGTCTCATTTTTTGTTTGAATAAAAATCCAAACAAGGTCCACACATAGTATTAATTGATATGACTTTTAAGTCTCTTTTAATCTATTGGTAACCCTTATTTCTCACTAACATCTTCGATAGATCCCTGTGATTTTTAGCACTCATCCATTCATTCAGCAGGTAAGTCATTCAATGAAACTTTTTTTCTTCTTTATTTCCTGAGGAAGATTCGCCCTGAGCTAACATCTGTTGCCAATCTTCCTTTTTTTTTTTTTTTTTTGCTTGAGGAAGATTAGCCTGCAGCTAACTTCTGTGCCAATCTTCCTCTACTTTATAGGTGGGTCACCACCACTGCATGGCTTGACGAGTGGCGTAGGGCCGCGCCCGGGACCCGGATCCGGGATCTGGGCCGGAACCGGGCCGCCGAAGCAGAGGAAGCGGAACCTTAACCACTCAGACACCGGCCCAGCCCCCATTCAATAAAACTTTTACTGACCGCCTACTCTGTGCCTGGCAGGTTGGGGAGAGAGGCAGGGAAGAAGCCCTGCCCTCCACTGATTCTAAGCGAATGATTAGACGTCGTCAGAGCCCCCTTACATGCTTCCTTGGGGCTAGAAGAGCTCCCTGAGGAGCCTCCACGAGACTATCTGTACATTTCTCAGAAAATACTGGAACTGAACGCTGCCAGCTGGGGGAGAGGGAGTCTATTTGGAGCCAACCCAGGCTCAGAGCTGGGAAAGAACCCAGGCGGCTCCTCTTCTCTCCTCTCGTATTGGAAAGCCGATGTTCCTCAGTGAGCAAAAGACAACTGGAATCCTGCTCACTTTTTTTCCTACTTGGCTATTTTTTCCCCTTAAACGTGACACCAGCAGGAAAAAAGATTCAGAAACCACAGTCATAATAGGTCTAGGAATTGTCACTTTTTTTTTTCTATTAAATGATGAAGTTTTAAAGAATTGAATTCACAGGTAATAAACACTCAGCGGACTTAACCAAGTCTAACAAATTTGCATTTCAACTCCCACCACCACACCACCGTCCTAGAGTTTTAAGCTTCACAGCCATGAGATGGCTCTTCCTCTCCATCCTGCACTACCTGTCAGATTCATCCATCATGCACATGGGCGAGACTGGGCTCTGGCTTTGCGTTCTTTCTCCTCTCATTTCTGACTCTTGCCTAGCATCTGTTGCAGCTTGGCTGTGATGAAGGGGGAGAGTGATGTTTCATTCTGGACTCATCTCTTGCCAAATCTACTCACATTTTCCTTTCTTTTCCCAAATCAGCGCTTTTTTTCCTCTCCTAAGTTACAGACTTACCTCAGGCTCTGGTCATTTCTTGCTTGGCTGATGGCAGCCTTCCCAGCTCCGGAATTCCCACTGCAGCACCATGTCCCGCCCCGCCAGTGACCCTTCAGTACCCCTCCCCCCATTCCCATTCCCCCTTCCCTTTGCATGGAGGACGGGGATGACCTTGCTCTCTGTACCCTCTCCTTTTAGGGAGGCCCTGGTCTGTCCTGGGGTGGGGTGGGGTGCTGATTCTCATGGCCTGACTTCAGCAGGGTGGGGGCAGTGAGCTGAGGAGAGGAAGAAGAGGCCACCACTGCCTGTTTGGAGGGTATTTCCCTCCAAACTGGAAATTCAGACAAACCTCAGAGGGGAAGGGTGTGGTAGCAATCTGCTTGGAGCAGTAGGGTGAGTCTTCAATACTTATGGGTAGATAGGAAGAGCTGTCATCTGTCCAGTGCCTACTCAATGGCAGGCACAGTGCTAAAGATTTTACGTGGATTCTTTCATATAATCCTCACCATCACTTTATAAGATAGCTTCTATTCTCATCTTCATTTTACAGATGTGGAAACAGGCACAGAGAGTTTAACTAACTTGCCCTGGGTTAGCACAGCTAGGAAGTGACAGAGCCAGGATTCAAGCCCACATATATTCAGTACTCCTTCCACTGTGTCTCCCGGTTTACCAGATGGTCCACTCTTAATTCCTAACCCACATCTTCCACTTCTTCACTGATCCAGTCCCTACACTTGGGCTACTAAACCTTTTCAAAGTTGCACTTTCTATAATAGGTAGGGTCTTCCTACAACTACATCTCCCAACGCAAGTATCGGTATAGCTCTCTCTTAAGCCTTTAATAGAATTGATTCAAACTGTTCAATAAGAGATCATTGAAGACGGGTGTTTAATATATGTCCTGCAAAGGAGATAAATATGACTCCTCTTAAGCAACTTTCTTTCTAGAAATGCTCAGCAGAGACAATAAAC